CAACTGCTGCTGCTTCACCTTTTCTTAGTTGTTGGGGAAGGTTTGACAAGAAGTGCAGATGTTGAGCTGTAGGTTTGAGTTTCCAGGTTTCAGGTTCAGGTCCATTACATTACATGTCACTTGTTAGACGCTTTTATCCAAAGCGACGTACATACTCAATACTGTGGGCAATCCCCACAGGAGCAATTTGGGGTGAAGTATCTTGCCCAGGGACACAACGACATGCTGACTGCAGTGGGGTTTGAACCTGTGATCCCCTGATCCCAAGACCAAGGCTCCATCCACTGCGCCACACGCCTCCCTGAGCATCCATGACAGTCAGATGTGTTCTTTGACTTTCTAATGGGGCAAGATCAGTACATCAAATACATCTGGACAACTTCAGCCAACATTCTTCAGACAATATTCTGTGTTTTGACAAAACACACTTTTGCTTCTACAGATTGGATCCAAAACCCCCATATGGGAACACAACTATCTGTTGTAAGCCTTTAGAAATGGCTCTAAGCTGTTTGGCTGTGAACTGCAGATAATGTTTGATATGAAGATAAGAGGCATTTCGGAGTATCGTTTTCCATGACTAATTAAGCTACACAAATAGTTCAAAACCAGGGTCCCTGGGTTTAGTAGATTATTGTAAGTAAACTTTTTACCTGTCAAATAAAACATATCTTAAGCCTCAGTGAAGTGTGTTATGACGCCACTGCACATTTCTATCATGCTCAAGTATGACTAAAAGCAGATACAATCAAAGACAGTTTCTCAGTATTAGGAGCTAAGTGTTTTTCCACAGTGATTTTACATGCTACAGCTCTGAAAGCTCTCTTGCATAAATAAAATCCACTTTCAAGCTCAAAATATGTTAATCCGGTAACATAATAAGACAGTCGTTTCTCCTGCAGTACACCCTTTGAGTATTATGCACCTTCTGATCTAAGACGTATTCATTTACCCAAATAAATCATATCTACTGTTTCTGGACGTGCTTTGCAAAGAAGGGTCCAGTTCACCCACACAATGGATAAGAAAATACAAAGGTGAAGATTTTGTAGAAGTTTCGAGTGAAGCATATGTAGGCGATATCTTGCAAAAGACTCAAATGATCTTCTTTTAATAAAGCTCCAGCAACTGGGCTGTTTTTCCTTTAGATGCTTTGCGAGGAATGTATGCATCTTTGTGTTTTATAAAAACATATTTTTAGATTGTTTAATCTATAACAATGCATAATATTTCACTGAAAGATCTTACAGTAAAAAATAACTTGCTGTAAAAGAGTTATGGTGGAATGCAAATGATTATATTCCTCTGAAATGTAAAGTACTAAAGTAAGAAAAATAAAATACTTGTACTAATAATACTTTAAATGCTTGTATTTGTCACTTCCCCACTGACTGAATACAATTAAAGATGTGACTGGAAGTGACACATCATTGCATTATTTCCCCTAATGCTGCCAATAACCTGTGAAAGGTCACATGAGTTTGTCTAACTAATAACACACTACAGGTGTTTCTCATAATGACGTCGTGTCTCTCTCTGTCTCTCCTCACACATGTGAGGTCTTTCTACAACTGCTCATTACCTGCATTAGTCACCACAAGTTGTTTTTGCCTACCTGTTGATTCAAATGTAGTTTTGAAGAATCAGCAAGAACTTTAAGTCACTGAAACTTTTGCAATACACCATAAGTGCTGAAGTGCAGTTCACTCCCCTGGAACGTTAAGTAGCCTAATACACACACACCCAGACAACACACACACTGTTTAATGATGAATTGTTTTCACCTCTTTTGCTGTACTGCCAGGATGTTCACTAATTCAGGAGCAGTGCAAATGTAAATGGATACAAAGACAGAATACAGCAGAGTGAAACTGCATTTCTAAATATAGCTGTGGTATCTCCTGGGATTTCTGTGGGAAAATACATAATGTTCACTTCTGCCAAAAAGCACACAGTAGGCTAGCCTATACATCATCGGCTGCAGGAAAGTTTGATATCTAAACAAAACAGTTTTCTGAAACTGGAAGGTTTGTGTTTTGAAGTGAAATGGTCCAGTGGAAACGTCCTCGCCCTGAGAAAGGTCAACTTTGTTTTGGAAACACAAGAAATGGTTACTGTGGCGGGAATCTATGCAGGCCTAGTTGTTAGCAGTGCATGGAAAACTGGCCACAATGTGGACAACTGATTTGTTTTTTGTTGTTTTTTCAGGCTTTCAACACCTGCAGACCTGATGCCATGTACAAATGTTTATAAAGCTGTAAAGTAAGAACAAAAGCCTGAATGCTGCAACAGATGTTTGTTTTTTTCTGGATTTATTCACTCAGTATCACTACTGCTTTAAGGGAAGACAGTCGGGTTTGCATAATGCTCAAGATGAAACATTACTATCATATTTCTTTATTGAACAAGGACCATGCATACAAATACATTAATCTCAAAAAGAGAAGAGATGCTATAAACAAGGTTATAGCTAAAAATCTCATTTTCATCTGCAGTCCCTAAGCAGGTACACACATACAAATCAACAAACATTACAACATTTCATAATGCCTTTCACACTAACAAATGAAACAGATCAAATACAGATCTATCCTGGTCCAGACTCTTCTCATCTCACGCCTTGACTGCTGTAACTCCCTCCTAGCTGGTCTACCTGCCAGTGCCCTCCGACCTCTGCAGCTCATCCAGAATGGAGCAGTCAGACTGGTCTTCAAACTCCCCAAGTTCTCCCAGACTGCACCACTCCTCGCTCCCTCCACTGGCTGCCAGTAGCGGCCAGTGATGACACTGGTCCTGGCCTACCAAGCCGTCAATGGATCAGAACCTTCCTACATCCAGGACATGGTTAAACACTACACGACAGCACGTGCACTTCGCTCTGCATCGGCCAATCAGCTTGCTACTCCTTCACTGCAAATGGGACCCAGGTACCCCTCAAAAACACGCCTGTCTGCTATCCTGGTTCCAAAATAGTGGAACAAGCTCCCCATTGATATAAGGACATCACAGAGTCTACACACATTCTGTTGCAGACTAAAAACTCACCTGTTTTGACTGCATCTTGGATACAAAAAAAAGATATATCTTCTGTACGTAGTTCTTACAAAGGATTTGGCTTTAAGTGAAGCTATTGCAGTAGCACTTAATCTGGTAGGGTTTACAGATAGGATACTTGCTTTTGAGTTTGTTTCATCATGGTTGAATGCACTTATTGTAAGTCGCTTTGGATAAAACATCAGCTAAATGAAATGTAATCTAATGTGAAAGACAGAGAACACAAAATAATTATGCTATGAGAGAAAATATTATTTTTAACAAATACAAGTGTATCATGAAAAGGAACACACTGTGAAAAACCAAGAAAATAACACCAATTCAAAACAATTAACTCTTATATACCACAACATGTCAGCAGGCAGCAGAGAGAGCAGACACAAAAGTATCTGACCATATGACTTAGTGTAGCAAACCATGATCGAGAAGTAGTGTTATGGATGAGCTCATTAGACATGGTGTAGTGTACATCTATAGTAACTTCCATTAGCTGTGCGTTTTGTGCAACATATCATGTCCAACATAAGGGAGGGACATCCTGGTAAGGAAGATGTATGACGCAGCAAGAACTTCATAGCAGGACATCGCAAAGAGAAAACAACACTTTCACTTCGAGGTTGAATTTTGTGTGAACAACCTGCATGAAGGGTAAAAAAGCTATTTAATGGAGAAATGCGTCTCTGCTATAAAATGTGCTTAACCAAGAACAGCTGTTTCTACTAATGGGCCTTCTCAAAGATTTTCTTGACTGACTGCACAGATTAGTGTGAGCCTACGTATGGTATTTATCTGCCGTAGAGTATGTACGACTAATTCATGACTAAAGCCTTTTTCATACTCTTAAAAATTACATGTTTCAAAATTGTTCGCTCCTGCAAAGTTATGTTCTGCAGCCCCAGGGGACTTTCAAAGAAGA